TCAAGGCAGATTCTCATATCTAGTGGCTACGAGACAAGTTCTTACAAGAGATATTGATTCTCAAAGATTCTCTCAAATTCTAAATTTTTCGAGTATAATATTTTCAAATTTTCAACCATACACTAATGATTGGTAATGTTTGATTTTCAGGTTCGACCTTCGAAGCAAATCAATCTTAAGCCTTCACGAAAGAGTAGTGAAGCAAATCAATATTAAGCCTTCACGGTAGAGTAGTGAAGTAAATCAATCTAAGCCTTCACAAAAGAGTAGTGAAGCAAATCAATCTCGCATATGATCTCCCCTGAATGAATAGTAGAGCAAACTCATCTTCTGAAGATCTTTTGAGTCCTATACTCCCTGAAAGAAGAGGGAGCAAACCCATCTTTCAAAGATTTTCAAGTCCTATACTCCCTGAAAGAAAAGGGAGCGGACCCATTTTCTGAAGATTTTTCAAGTCCTATATTCCCTGAAAGAAGAGGGAGCGGGCCCATTTTTCGAAGATATTTTGATTCATATACTCCCTGAAAGAAGAGGGAGTGAACCCCATTTTCTGAAGATTGTTCAAGTCCTATGCTCCCTGAAAGAAGAGTGAACGGACCCGTTTTCTGAAGATTTTTCAAGTCCTATACTCCCTAAAAGAAGAGGGAGCAAACCCATTTTCCGAAGATGTTTCGAGTCCTATAATCCCCGAAAGAAGAGTGAGCATACCCATTTTCTGAAGATTATTCAAGTTCTATACTCCTTGAAAGAAGAGGGAGCATACTCATTTTTTGAAGATATTTCGAGTCCTATACTCCCTGAAAGAAGAGGGAACGGACTCGTTTTTCGAAGATTGTTCAAGTCCTATACTGCCTGAAAGAAGAGGGAGTGGACCCATTACCAAAGATTTTTCGAGTCCTATACTCCCTAAAAGAAGAAGGAGCAGGCCAGTTTTCTGAATATTTTCAAGTCTTATACTCCCTAAATAAAGAGGGAGCAGACCCGTCATCTGAAGATTTTTCGATCTTCTCTCCCTGAAAGAAGAGTGGAATGGACCCATCTTCCAAAATTGATCTGATTACCCAGAAAAGAGGAACATATCAAGTCTAACCTATTCTAAAGTTGCAATGGAGCGGATTTCCTGTGAAAAGATGGATCACCTTTAGAAGAAAACTTGTGTTTTTATTCTTTGTCCTACTGTTGTAATACAATAGTAGACAAAGAGGGGCAGCTGTAAATACGTGTTTTCGTCCGAGGATTTTGCTTTATTTTATTGGTTGTTTTATTTTATTTTTTATAATAATTATGTACAGTAATATATAGTATAATATAAATAAAATAATATAAAAAAGGGTTTTGAAAAATCATATATTATATAGTTTTGAAAATAATATATATATATATATATAGTTTTAAAAAAAGGGTTTTGAAAAATAGTATATTATATAGTTTTGAAAATAATATATATATATATATATATATAGTTGTGAAAAAAGGTTTTGAAAAATAGTATATTATAATAATTAGTATATATCATATATATATATATATTAATTTAATTTTTATTTTTCCTTTTCATTTTAGGGTCAATTTTTTGAAGTAAAAAAAAAACCAAGGTACAAGTTGCATAATCCAGTGGATGAATCCAAATGATAATCATCAAGAGAGGCCGAAGTTGAGACCGTTTGAAGCAGCCCATGTATGGTGCCAAACAGTTAGAATTTTGGGTTATCATCTAGGCACCAGTAATAAAGAGTCGTTGGATATGAACCAATCCAAGGGCCTTGGTTAAGATGAATAAGTTAGGGTTTTTATAACCCCTGAAAGAAACACGTGCAGCCTAGGGATAACCGTTGGATCTTACCCAATCTAACGGTCCAAGATCAAGAGGATTAATGGTTTATTCTAACCAAATGGATAGATAACACAGCCAAACCGCGACCGTTGGATCTGACCCAATCCAACGGTCCATATCATAAGATATGTGGGGTTTTTGAACCCTAAAATTATCAGTGCCACCAGAAGTTTCCACCGTTTGATCTGGCTCTAAGATCTAACGATTATAAACACGCTAGAGGGCTCTCAGTGGCACGTGAGATGTACCAAGGCCTTCATAGGACAACTGTCACGTTCCTCAACTACTTCAACCGAACCCGCAAAACGAAAAAAACCAAATACAGATTCTTTTACCACGTAGAGTGGCCAGCACAACAAGGCAAAACGGATTTCTTTAAGGGAAATTACAGTGGATAATTTATAGTAACGATAAAGGGACACCCATTACCCATCAGCAAGGAACTAGAGAGAGAAAACAAGTACAAAAAACCCATTAGCAGTGAGAACCCAAAAGAAAGATAGAAAGAAAAAACAGAGCAAAAAAACCAAACACCCCACTATTTTATGAACGAACCATCAACCAAGGAAAAAACAACCGAGAAAAAAAACTTACCTTCCTGGTCCAGAAGCCGTCACTACCATCGTTAGGAATCAGAACCCTCTCGAGTAGAAGGTAACCCATTAGTCCTTTAGCCTTTAACGTTCATTTTCGGGGTCATGGGTCATTTGGTAGAGATTTTGGCCTAAAGGTATCAAGTTTGGAGAACTTTTAAAGGGGTTTAGTTTAGGAAGAGAGTTTCTGAGATGGTGAGGTTCTCATCGGAGCCTCGAGGTACGACACAAGTCCTGGCGGCTGTCTAAGCAAGAACCCTAAGGGTGGAGAGAAGAAGAGAAAGGGTTTCTATTATTAGTGGGTTAGATCTAAGGTTTGTGGGTGTCGGGGTTCTTCATCGGAACACATTGGCTCCTCATCAGAGCCCGTTGGGAGTGTAAAGGCCACAGTGGCCATAGTTTTGTTAGGGTTAAGATGAGTTAAGAAGGAGAGAAATGAGAGAACAGTCGAAGGATGTTTTAGATGGGAGGATAAAAGTGGGCTAGGGTAAAAATCTTACCCTATATGTCATACATATAAGGTCGCCTAAATGGCGTTGTTTAAGTATCAGCTGAAACGGTAGCACTTTGAGGGTTGGGAGAGTAACCTGTGTTTTAGGAGAATGGGATAATAATGCTTTAGGTTCCTGTTATCTTTATAATGTACCGATTTTGTCATCAATCAAAAGTTTTCATTTTTATGATTTGGATCATTAATTTATTTATATTTTAATCACTGTTTATTTTAATTATTGGTTTACTGTTTGATTTGACCCATGTGTAAATTAATGGTTTATTTTCATATAAGTCACTTTTAATTTTGTTTGCTGCAATTTAAGTATGATTTAAATGATTAAATTTCCTTGTAAGTCATTAGACATTTTTGATTAAGCTAGTTAGTCCTTAGACCTTTTAGGGTTAAAATTTTAAGGAAAATTACGTAAAGACTCCCCATGTTTTAACTTATTCTTACTATAATCACTAGTCTTTAGGGTTTTCTTTCTTTCTTTTTAATCATTTTAATTTAGATGTCTTTTTATTTTAGTTACTGTTATATTTTGTTTTTAAGTCATTTACTCTTATGTTTGTTTTAATTAAATCTTTAAATTTTGGTATTAGTATTTTTTTAAATCCTAATTTAATTTAGTAGGTTTAGTCCTTGTACTTTTTATTTTTTTTCAGTCCATGGTTATAAGATTAAATTTATTGATTCTTTGGGTTATATCACTGAAATGAATATACATATGGATGATAATTTTTTAAATAGTCTTAGGTTTTCTTACATTTAGTTTTATATTAATTAATTAATTAATTTGATAATAAGGGAAATATCTTTTATTTTATATTAAGGTGTTTATAAGTGTCCCAATATATTATTATGTACTTGTGTGTTCATCTAGATTTAGGTTTTTGCATCATTTATTTATTTAATGTATGTTATTCTCATATGCATAACTTGACCTATAATTACATAATTGGATTAAGAGTAATACCCTTTTAATTTAAAATTATTTTGAGTAGCTTGTCTTAACTTATTAGAGACTCGTTTTCGATAATTTTAAATTGAAAGTGTATCCCAACAGTGAAACCTAAAAAAATGTTTTGTCACTTAAAATTTGGAAACAAAAGAAAAAGAAATGTTCGGATATTTAAATTTTTCGAAAAAAGATTGTTAGAACTTATCTATGATCTGATCTCGATATTTTTAAATAATCAAATATTATTCATCTTTCTAAAAAGGCTTGGTAATTTTAATTTAATCTATTATGGTGCATTTGAATATTATAGTGAAATTATAATATTTCTTTATTTCAATTGGAGTAAGAATTGATTGCCTCAAGTTATGAGGGATTTATTTATTCTCGATAGTAAATAATTTAATATTATTATATTTCATTGTAAAATTCATATTTGATGTGTTGGTGGGATCATAAATCAAATTAAAATCGAATTTATAAATTTCATTGCAAAGACATTAATTAATCGATTAGGTACTAATTTAGGGTGCTGTGGGGTGATAATCATTCTCCACTCGTAATCGACTCCCGAATTCGAATTTTGGTAACGTGGACCATAAATTTATCGTTTTAATTAAAATTAATTTTTATTTAAAATGACAACATATTTTTAGGTGCCTAATCACACTCTAATTAAAGATTGATGACAATTCCTTAAACAATACATTTTTATTTTTTAAAAAAGAATCTCAAAATTTTCAAAACGAGAGATTTTTTAATCACTTTTATTTTAAAATTAAAAATTAATCATAAAAAGAATAATTAAAATTATATGATATTTTAAATCTCACTTTGAGAAAAAAAATTATTTCGACAACACTTCCTTATTAACGCATTATTGCCTTAGCACTTTTCCTAAAGTGACGGTCACCAAACAAAAACAATCCAGTCGGAACTAGAAAGTAGAAAGTGTTGTAGATGGTCGTGTGCGCAAAACTCTCAGAACACGTTAGAAAAAAACAAATTAAAAAAAAACATTTTTTTCACTTGTCGGCTCAAAGGGGTATTGTGGTAATTATGTGGCTAAAAACTGAATTGTGGACAGTACAGGAAAGAAAAAAAACCATCCTTGAGGAAGCAGAGAAAACCAGTTAAAGCCCCCAAACCCAAAAGATTTTGAATTTGCTAATCTTTTGATAAATGTCAGTACTTTTCTTCCTTCTTATTGTAGTGAGGACCTCTTGAGTCAATCCCAAGCATAACCGATATAAATCCCAAAGGTTTACTAAATCCAGTCACTTCCATTAGAAAGAACGGAGAGCTTGCGAAGATAATGTTAGAATTTCTAGCAAAGACTAAAGCGGAGGATGCAGAAATAAAGCTGAAGCTCCTCTTCAATGGCGAACACTGAGTTTACCACTTATTTTATCTTCATCACTTTGTTCTGCTTTACAGTTCCTTCCACAGGTAATGTCTCAAAAACCCCAGTAGAAAATAGCTTACTAGAAACCACAAATCCAATTGAGGCTCAATTTTTATAATTAAAAAATTTTACAAATTTTTGCAGCAAAGCCATCAGCTTTAGTCCGAGAAATCAAGCAGAAAACTCAAGAGCAAGATAAAGAACCGTTTGTGGGTGTTAACATAGGCACGGATGTCTCAGATCTGCTTTCACCAGCAGACTTGGTTTCATTCTTGCAAGTGCAGAAAATTTATCACATTCGACTGTATGATGCAAACCCCGATATACTCAAAGCATTGGCGAAGACAAAGATACGGGTCATTATCAGCGTACCGAATAACCAGCTTTTGGCGATTGGGTCATCCAACACCACGGCGGCTTCTTGGGTCGGTCGAAACGTCGTCGCTTACTACCCGGAAACGCTCATCACCGGTATTGCAGTTGGAGATGAGGTCTTGACGACCGTACCATCCTCGAGTCCTTTGCTGCTTCCTGCAATTCAGTCTCTTTACAGTGCTTTGGTGGCTGCAAATTTGCATACTCTAATCAAGGTTTCAACCCCACATGCAGCTTCGATTGTTCTTGATACCTTTCCTCCTTCTCAGGCTTACTTTAACCAAAGCTTGACTGCGGTTATGGTTCCTTTGCTTCAGTTTTTGTCAAGAACTGGGTCTCCTTTAATGATGAATCTTTATCCTTATTATGTGTTTATGGAGAATAAAGGTGTGGTTCCGTTGGATAATTCCTTGTTTAAGCCATTGACACCGTCTAAAGAAATGGTTGATCCTAACACTTTGCTGCATTACACTAATGTGCTGGATGCCATGATTGATGCTGCATATGTTTCTATGAAAAATTTGAACGTTACCGATGTTATTGTGCTTGTCACTGAGAGTGGGTGGCCTTCGAAAGGGGATTCGAAAGAGCCTTATGCTACTAAAGATAATGCAGATACCTATAATTCGAATCTTATTAAGCATGTCTTAGACCGTAGTGGAACCCCTTTGCATCCAGAACTCACTTCCAGTGTGTATATTTATGAGTTGTTCAACGAGGACTTGAGGTCACCCCCAATATCCGAGGCGAATTGGGGATTGTTTTATTCAAATTCAACCCCAGTGTATTTGCTTCATGTATCAGGAAGTGGGACCTTTTTGGCAAATGATACAACTAACCAGACCTTTTGTATTGCAATGGACGGAGTTGATTCGAAGACATTGCAGATGGCTTTGGACTGGGCTTGTGGTCCTGGTAGGGCAAATTGCAGTGAGATTCAACCAGGGGAAAGCTGCTACCAGCCGAATAATGTGAAGAACCATGCTTCTTATGCATTTGATAGCTACTATCAGAAGGAAGGGAGAGCTTCTGGGTCTTGTGACTTCAAGGGTGTGGCCATGATAACTACCACTGACCCAAGTAAGTATTATCACATCCATTCCTTAATCAACATTTGTTTTTACCTTTACATTGTCCCTCAATCGAGTTCAATTTGTTCTGTAGCCATTGTAAGTGGTTAGTAATCCAAGTGCTCAACTTATCTTCTGATCAAACTATTTTAGATGAAGAATTGGAAATGAAGATATTTAACATTCAGCAATAGTTTTGTTTGTGGTTTCCCATGATCTAGTTCCTTAGTGAAAGGATCAAATACTTTAATCCCCTACTATTGTGTGCATTTACCATAGTTCCAAGGCCAAATTTTTCAACTTAATCCTTCTTGCAGCTAATCTTTTGCTTAAGCATTAAGTATATAGGTTTTAAAATATAAAGCCTCGTTATCAGAAAGTAGTGGGAATATTGCACCTCCAAGTTACAAGCCATGCGTGTAGGGATATTCAATGGGGGGGGGGGAAGGTTACTTCTAAAAAAGAAGGGGTGTACATACAGTTTCTACCTGGCAAGGTCACATGGGTTCTTTTCGTGATTTGAAGGCTGGAAAGGGCGTGGAATAACATTTTCTTGCTCATGCTCGGAATTATTATTTCAGTTTGGACACTGGTTCCTAGTGTGCCCCACTGCACAACATTATGTTTGGATTTCTAAAGAAAAATGAGACTTTTCTTTATTCTTTCAGTCATCTTCTTTCATTGCCTTTTTCCTCGATTCTCTTTTCTTTTCCCTTCCATTTATTTACTGATTTTACTGTACCATATTAGAAATCTGAGAAGTTTTCGCATTTCTAAATTTGTGCGGTGTATTTGCAGGTCACGGGAGCTGTATATTTCCAGGAAGGTGAGACTTATTGTACTTAGCATCTTTTCCTTTTAGAGTATTAATGCTGTTGAAGCATCATGTAGTTGCAACAAAATGCATAAGGTTCCTATTTCCTAACAGAGAAGTCTTAATTTCCATTTTCAGTAAGGTGGTAAGCAATAAGACGAGAACGGTTTCTAACTCGACGGAAACAAGTGGTGCAGCTGAGAGGTTAAAGTTCAACAATTTCCACAGCTGCCAAATAAGTTCAACGACTCTAGCATTATGTATTTTGTTATTCATTCTTTTGTGAAGGCTCGGTGAGGAGGAAAGTAAAAAACTATTCGTGAGCTGATATTGTTTGTAGTAATCAATGCAAGAAGTGAGATTAGTCTGCACCATGCAATCATCAAGTAGTTGAAATGGGATCAGTTTCAGGCATTTTTTATGGCCAAGATCAAGAGATGAAGAATATTTATAAACCCTTTTTGGGCAATGATTTCGCATTGAACTTCTTTGTCGCTTGAAATCAAAACCCAATTACAGATGGTTCATATTCCATTTAAAGCGGTAGCCCATGACACCAATATCGGATGATTTGTACTTAACCCATTAATATTTGTAATCAGCCCATCCATTACTATTATTTAGTGATACAGTAACCCCATTCTATCGAAAGAGAAAAAGAAATAAATGATTAAGGGTGTATAATAGGTAATAATATAATGGGACATAAATGATAATTAATGTTATATATAATGTTCTTTGAAATTATTACATAGACTAAAAATTTTGATTGACTTGAAGCAAAGAGATCATGAATTCGAGCAGTTGTGTCTGTAGGGTGTGTGTACATCATGTCACAGGGCTAGACTTCTGCTAGTCGATTCGTACGACACTTAGATGATTTCCAGGTTGAAATGACGCCTAAGTCAACCTTAACCACGTCCTTGTGAGTCTCTGGCTCACTAAGAGACGAACAAACCCGATAGGGTTAGGCAACAATGCGGAAGCAAAACACCACTGTGACTAATCCAAGCCACCAAGGTTGAACGGATCTCAGAAGCATGAGCACTATGAGGACTTCCTAAGTCGCCACGACTTGAACCGCTTTGGAACTTCGAAAGAACTCGAAAAGGAACCACTCTCGAGGCCATCTCAACCCTCAAGTTCGACAACACAAACCATAAAGGCTTCAGCACAAAGACGAACAAGCCGACAAGGTTAGAAAGCCAGAAACAAAAGAACTCTGAGAGAAAGTAAGTGTAACACCCCAACCCATATTCGATCCGGATCTAAGTCTGAGGTGTCACATTTACTTTTCAAAACTTGTCTCTAAAAAAATCATGAAAATATAAACTTTCATTAAATAAAAATTCATTATTTTACATGAATTAAACTGTTTGGTTTTACAAAACCTATAAGAGCATATTCAACTCAATCTATTAGTGCATGCCAACTATATTCAAAATAACAAAATACATTTAAAACATCTCTTTTCTGATCTGAATTTTGTAAGGGAGATGTTGATCTGTCTTGCTCCTTTTAGCTTCTCTTCTCGCTTCCAGAACCTACGTGTGAAACACTCACACGCTAAGTTAATGACTTAGTGAGGCATTAAACGTATAAAAGTAATTCTAACTACTTAACCATGCATGAGCATATCATATCATGCTATCACACAAAACAATATAGCATTACATATAATCAAATGTACACATATACACATCATTCATCATTTCCATCATTAACCTTATTTCACTATCAATATGATTATCATTTATATCTTGTAATCATATCCTTTTGTACTTAACGTTTTAATCAGCATAACTCATGTAACCACGCAATACACATATCATCATTAAAATCATATAATACAATTCTTCTCACAAAAACATATACATCATATGTCATATGTTCATTGTTATCTCTTTGTTAGCCCATGTACATATGTGAGAACTAAAGATATATGAGTACATTGAGGTTGTGCACATATGCTGTCACCACAGCTCATATAAAGATCCACTGAGTGACATATGAAATTGTCCCGAAGGACCTATGTATGTCCTGAAGGACCTCTGTATGTCCCGAAAGACCTCTGTATGTCCCGAAGGACCTCTGTATGTCCCGAAGGACATCGTAGACCCTCGACTCTTGGCATGCCAACTATACCTCTAGCCCTCATGACACATAACATGGGCATTTTATTTTATCTTATTATACATTCACACATTCATGTCACATAGCCCTTTATCATATTTTCATATGATCACATAGTTCACTTCCATATAATTCACATATTTCTTCTCTTTTACCACGTATCATATATATGTGTAATCATCGATCTCATATCATATAACATTCTTGTATATTCCTATATATCATTGTCACATATTGCATATCACATATACTATAATCACACAATTTCCATATCATTGGACTTATTTCACTTCCTCAAGTTAATACATATACATGTAGTCCCAATTATATACTCTTTCATATAATTCATATAGTAATACAATATTCTTATCTTATACAATAATTGAGCATATTGATTTCTTAAGGTCATACAATCTCATATTACCTTATAAGTAAATACTACCTATCTCATCTCACTTTTTCCACTTGCTCACATAACTATTTATATGGTTTGTTACCATATCCTGGGTTTATTCAGTTCCTGTAACTTATACCATAACATATAATTTATCTCATTTATCTCATATTATTCATATATTAAGTTGATTTATTTATTTAATTTAATTCCACATGACTCATATAATATTCTCATCTATCTTTATAGCTCTTTAAGCTATAACTCCTATATTATATTTTCTATTAAATATATATATCTTCATTATAATACTTATCATATAGTTTTATATCATCATTTATATTTATGTCCCTTAATTTATATAATATTCTCATAGAGTCTCATAATCTTTCTCATGTAATCATTTACCATATAGTATAACTTGTACTTGGTTATCCTATGTTTATATATATATATATGAAATAATTCTTTAGTTGGTAGCTTTTGTCACCTATTCATCTCATTCATTATGTCAATATCATATAATTTATGTAAACATGTCTATCACTTATATCAGTTCCTATGTCTTATCACACTAGCATATATTCATACAATCATGTCACACACATATAATAACATATAAGTCAAACACTCGTAACAAAAACATGCTCATGTTAATGCATTCATGCATAATACTATAGGAAATAGACTTATCGCAAGTCTTATTTCTATTAAACACCATATACTATCTAGTGTGCACTCACCTGGCCTCATTAGACAATATCATTCCCTTATCTCTTCTTGATGGCTATTACTTGACACCTTGTTCGGACATTGCTTGTAACACCCATAACCTGTATAATTATACATATACATATTATAGATGTCACCCGAATTTCTAAAACCATTTACAATCCAAAAGTGATTTAAAATTTATTCTCTTAAAATAGTAACTGATATTATAAAAATATCATATCATAAAAATTATGTTTCGTTATAATAATTTTAATTCAAAAGATTTTTATGAATAGCACCGTGAACAGTGAATAGTGAGGGTATCGGTACCTGTAGCAGGGTATCGGTACCCCTGTAGTATTATGGAAATTTTTAAGCGTAGGTATTGTTCATTACTATTCACTACTACAGTAACTTCCGAAAATACATATAAATTCATAAAAATTTATCCTTTCATCACTATAAAGATTATCATTTTGTTTCCAAATTTGTTCAACAAAACAAATAAAACATTATTAATTACATGCCACTATCTAAGTCAAATTCCATCATAGGATGTCTTACAGATATTGAAATATACTCCTCGATGCTTGATGTCACTTTGAACTCTTTAATCCATTACTGGCTTTGACATACGCGTGAAAATCATCACACGCTAAGTATATACTTAGTAAGGCAATTAAAACAATAAACAGTGCAATACAATTCATGCATGAATTTCAATGTTAAGATCAAAATGCCATAAAATCATTTTACTTGCATATTCAATATTTTACCATGATCATCATAATATAACACTTCTTATCAATCTACTTACCATTTATCCCATAAGCTCGTAAGCTTATTTTACCAATATACTTACCATTATTACATAAGCTCGTAAGCTTATTTTACCAATATACTTACCATTATTCCATAAACCATATTCCATAGACAATAGCCCAATATACAACCCTGAGGACCCTGGGTACACGAGTCAAATATAAGCACCGTAGTGCTAATCCGTATGACACATAAGGTCATGTACACCATCTGTACTGGGTATCCTTAAGTACAGTTCCGTATGACACATAAGGTTGTGTCCACCATCTGTACTAGGTATCCTTAAGTACAGTCCCGTATGACACATAAGGGCGTGCCCACCATATACACTAGGTATCCTTTAGTGTATCCCATATGCATCCTACTGCTTGACTCTATGGCATGCCAATTATACCCTGTCCCTCAATGACTTACTTGGGCGTATAGTCTATTTTATTTGATCCATCCGTGGCAAAGTATATTATCAATATTTAACATTGGGCAGTTCATACCCGAAATAACATTCATGATAAAAATCATATATGTTCATGATAACATCATATGCAAAAATCAGTGATCAATGCATTTTAGTTTCATACTTTAACATATCAATGTCATGTCAATTTATAAAAATATGACATAATATCATGCTGATATAAACAAGGTCGACTTATCAAAAGTCTTCCTGATGATGTATAAAACATCCATGTATAATGTCATGTGTTGGGATTTTCAGAAGCTCGATTCGACAACCGGAATGGTTTGCAAAGAGGAGTCGGAACGGTTTTGTGTTTAGGGATTAAGAAGATTGAAAGATAGAAAATTGCACAGCGATTTAGAGTGGTTTGACTTTCTCAACCAAAGTCTACATCTACTACCTTAGCTCATCACCAAGGATTTTCCAACAAATTCACTAATTTGTTCTTTCTTTTGAGGACAAAGAGATAACCTTACAACTCCCTAGTTTTTTCGGGCTAAACTAAAACCTTTCCCTAGCTTTTACACGGGATAAGATATAACATTTCCCCTTTACAAAAGGATAAAAGATGTAAACAAGAAAACCTCTCTAAGGTAGGTGTTTACAAGATTGAGCTCACAAGAACAAAATATTTACAAGAGAAAGATGAAATAAGAATGAAAAACTCTTCTCTTGTGTTTGATTGCTTGGATAGTTGTTCTCTTTCTTCTTCAAGTGTCCTTAGCTTGTATTTATAGCTTGGAATGTGTTTGATGTTGTATATAGCCGTTGGGGATGTTTTAGAG